AAAAAATTAACAAATCTTCAAAAATATGAATTCAAAATTAAGTATGTACTTTTTATACCTTTTTAACATTAAGGCATTTGAAAAGCAGAGCGACAGGAGAGAAATCTTCCACCACTCACCACCCCCAGGTCACTCCCAAAATGATCTCATCAGCTGAGGCTGAGCCAGGAACTGCACCTGGTTTCCCATGTGGGTGGCAGGAGACCAAGTACTTGGACCATCTTCCACTGCCTTCCCAGATGCATTTGCAAGAAGCTGGATCAGAAGTAGAGCAACCAGGGCTTGAACCAGCATTCCTATATGGTATGTTGGTGTTATAAGCAGTGACTTCCATGGCATGAAAATGCCATACCCTTTTCTCTTCTTTTAATCATTGAGCTACTTGTTATCTCTACCCAGAAATAGGGATTACTTCCAAGTTTATGTTCCTTATGCCCCTTCTCTTTTTCCCCCTTCTTGCTTTTGCTGTTTCATGAAAATGAAGACAAAATAAAGTTACCAGATTATAGGATTAAGATCCAAAAGCAAATTATACTTTTTAATGTTTTTACCAGAGACAGAATCACTACAATCTAGGGTACCTTAGTCATTTTTAAGTGACTGTATCATCTCCAATCAAAATATATACAAAATGAAACTATGGAACTTGACCATATCAGATGATTTGGAGTAAGTTACACCATGATAATAAACAACCCTTCAAACATCAACATCCTATGACAGCAGAGGTTTTTTGCTCACTACCTTTGCATTTGTACCATGAATCAGCAGCTTTGGCTCTACTCCACAAAGTTTCAGTCCATGCCTGGACTAACCCCCTAACTAGAGTATGTCTCATTTTGTGGGAGAAGGAAAACGAGACCAAGTAGCAGACCGTGCAACGATGCCTGGAGCTTCTTTTTCAGGTATGACATATCATCTTCATTTAGTGGCCATTTCACTTCACAGCAATCACATAGCCAAGTGTGACATCAAATCACTAAGGGAAAGTAGCAAGTACTTTACACAATCAACTCTATATCAAGTCATAGTTAGGTTATGAAGTTACCCACTACACTCAAAGCAAAAGCAACGCAATGCTTTGTATGTTACTCGTGATGATTCCCCAATGAATGATTTCAAACATCCCACCAATTTGGGTTCATGAAATCAATAGGTGCATTTATCTGCATAAAATCTCAAATGATGACAGAATACCTTAGCTCAGCAGTTCAAGATGTAACTTATAGGACCAACAGATCTCCTGCAAGCCTGGGGCGAGACCTCCCTATCTAACACTATTGATCAGTCAGAAGTCTTGCATGTCCAGCCGGTGTCTCTGTCCAGTACAGTCCATTAAAAGTCAAGCATCTTAGCTGATAATCTCACTCTCTGGCAAGTTTATTCCTGAGGGGCACTGTCTCAGAAGACATTTAATACCTAGTTTACAGATCAACATGATAAACACTCTTGTAATCTAGACCCTTCTAAGTTGCCTTTTTTAAGTACAACACGTTCACATATAGAACTTGGCAGTGATACTCTTCCAAGACTGAAGAGCTTAATATCATAGGAACACACACTATTCAATGCTTACAACAAAATTCTTCTTTAACAAATTACCTTATTTTCAGTGAGTATTACAGCAGATGCTGTGTTATATCACAGTTTCTCATTCAGGGTTAATATACTCACTCCACCAGCCACAAGGAATGTTGGCTCCTAACGGCCATCATCTGTGACCATGTACAGGCATTTCCCAATGTCAAGAAGCCACATATGCCAAGGCTGGTGTTTTGTCATAGTGGGTAAGGCCACTGCATCTTACTCTGTCATCCCATATGTACACTGGTTCATATCCCAGCTGTTCTACTTCTGACCCAGGTCCCTGCTAATGGCCTCGGAAAAGCAGGGCAAGAAGCAAAAACATCTGGGCCCTCGCCACCCCCTTGGGAGACCCAGATTGAAACTCCTGGCTTTGGCCAGGCCCAGCCCCAGTCATTAGGGAATATACCAGGGGATGGTATATATCTCCTTCTTACTTTCAAGTTAATAAATCTTTAGGAAAAAAAGAGTCACAAATGTCACTGTCCCTAACCAGGGCAAACTTCCCATTCAATAACTGGCTGACATTATGTGCTGTTAGAAAAATCTGTATCATTTTCTAACTTGGAAAATCTCAATGCCCATTTTTAGTCTCAGATTGACTGAAGCTGTTATCACAATGGTATTATGAATCAGCTTCTCCCTGGGTCCATTCTGCATTCATTGTTCCTTCAAAAAGGTATTGATCTAGAGAACTCTCCCATATAAGCTTGTTACATGAAAACTATAATATGTCAGAGTCTATTTCTCTGGAATCCTGATCTGCAGCAGTTGATAATGAAAACGATTATTCAAAATAAACTATAAAATAGATTTTGGAGCAGAGTCACTCACTGTACAGCTAGCAAAGGAGATACCATCATTGGTAGTAGGAGAAATATAGATATCCTTTGGCTTTCTAGAGTGGTATAAGTGCTAGAACTTTTTTTTTTTTTTTTTGACAGGCAGAGTGGACAGTGAGAGAGAGAGATAGAGAGAAAGGTCTTCCTTTGCCGTTGGTTCACCCTCCAATGGCCGCTGCGGCCGGCGCATCGCGCTGATCCGATGGCAGGAGCCAGGAGCCAGGTGCTTTTCCTGGTCTCCCATGGGGTGCAGGGCCCAAGCACCTGGGCCATCCTCCACTGCACTCCCTGGCCACAGCAGAGAGCTGGCCTGGAAGAGGGGCAACCGGGACAGAATCCGGCGCCCCAACCGGGACTAGAACCCGGTGTGCCGGCGCCGCTAGGTGGAGGATTAGCCTAGTGAGCCGCGGCGCCGGCCTAGTGCTAGAACTTTTATGGTTGATAAACTAGAATAGAAAGGAACATTCACTGTCAAGTATAATGTACAAAGCAATTTAGAGGTGTAGGGGAAATAGTTATTTGAAGGATTATAGAATCCAGTGCTGTTGCTGGATATTTCAATTCACTGAAGAAAGTAATGAAAGGCTGAAGATTATTAATCATCCATTTAAGGCATACTATGAAAGGCCAAAGACATCCTTGGCAACATATAAATAGATTCTTAAGTCCTACAGGCAGTGAGAAATCATAGCTAAATGCAAGAACTCCAAGAGAAGTTGAACTCAAATTCAAATCCTCTACTCCAAAATCAGCCATTTGATTGATAAAGTCAGAAAGCATGGAATGGAGACATCTGGTTTGCTCAAAAATCTTGAGTCCCATAACTCATGTAAAAGTTGTGGGCCTATGGAAATAACCTGCCAACTTCTTTCATGTTGAAGATCCCCACTGAGGAGCCTGAGACCTGGTCATCACATCCTTTTTAAGCTGTAGCTACCAGTTAATTTATCATAAAAAATTATACCATAGAGTATAAAGATGTTCTCAATGGATCACCAGACATTATTTCCTATTTCTGTCATTTAACAGTCTTATCTCTTTCTCCTGGAAGCCAGGATGATGATGCCTTGCTGACTCTTTTCATGGTATAAGCCTCAAGTGTGTAGGCAGCAGTCATAGCTTAATGTATTGGGATTTTTTTGGCAACATGCCAACAGAAATACTTCCATTCTAGGAACCAGGATTCTCAAACCTGGACAACCTAAAATTATAGAATAAGAAGCATAAGTTTAAGTGGGCAATAGGAATGATATTAAGTCAAGCTATTTCTACTTAATATCCCTGGTTTCTAGGCTGTTGGATTTTACTTTTTGGAACATGAGATGACATCATGCTAAGTAATAATCATGGACAGAGGGTATACCAGTATGTGGCAGTCATTCTCACAAGGCATCATCTCCATGCTGGCTCCTCGGCTGCATATTCAAAAGCCATTTTATCCATTTACCTGTCTTATGATTATTATGGTATGTAACTGAAATAGCAGATCTCGTAGTCATATACCCATGGCCACATCTCCTTTCCTAAGTGAGTCATTGAGGCAATGTTATCAAATACTCTGCATTCAAAGATCTTGTTGCTGGCAGAGGCCTCTGAAATATGTGTCAGTTCCAGTCACAATGAATCACCATTTCTCTCATTGGGGAAGGGATACAATGTTATTGCTACCAAATGACCAGTTGATCTCCTCAAAGGAGGACACCAAGTCAGGGGCTTCGCACCAGTATTTTCTACTGGCAGGTTGAAAAATCTGGCAGTATCAGAAGCTAATTAAACCTTGGTAAGCAGAAACCCATGCTATTGGAACCAAAAATATCCTCTATTCTTGCCAAAATAGCTATTCAAGTGCCAAACTGGTACTCTAGCCAAATCCATCTACTTGGTTATTAACCACCTCCTCTGTGATTGGCATATCCTAGAACATGCTAACATGTGACTTGAAGACCTTCACATTTCATGCCAACTCTTTCAGCTTTTACTATGACTGTTCAAGATCTTTTCCCTCTTCACCTTTCAATCTTTCTCCTTCCAGGTCCAATCAAACCACCTTCTATTGCGCATAGTTTAAAGCCTGGTTCACCCTTTAGTTAGGCCACCTAGAACAGAAGAGGTGCTAAGCAAGGGTGAAGGGGGTCTACAACAGGTATTAGAAAGGCAGTTTAATATCAGTTGTATTGTCAAGATGATCTCCACAAACAGGGGATGTAACTTGTCTCATGGATTCTTTTTCCATTAAAGCACATCTAGGAAAATAAATCAATGACAATCCTGGAGTCACTCTTTGAAGATGGTAGGAATTCTTTTAATGAAGCAAGTGGATCCAAGTGCCACAAAAACTTAATGGATCGAGATCAAGGCATCTATTTTCCCTACTCCTAGGAATGCACTTGCTACCACAGGTTCACAATTATATTTTGCACATGGAACTACTCTC